GTGGAAATTTAGAGCTTGACCATAATCCAACTAGACTACACTGCAGCTGCATCATCTTTGTCCCATTTATTTTTTTTTTTTAGATGAAAAATAGAAATAAGGGTAAAAAAGAGAAATAAAATTTCCCACACTGTCCAGGTAATTTCCAAAATGTCTTAAAGTTATTAAGTTTAAGGTTATTGAAGTTATTAAGGTTAAGACTATACACACCTAAAGGCTGTGTGGTTCTGTGGCTGTTGGAAATATTGCAATTGAAGTAGAATACTCCATTGGCAACTCAGTTCTTAATGTCATAAAAATCAGCTCAGTGATCTCAAGAGACAGCCAAGTCTTTTTAGAGAGAAAGCTGCCAATGTTTGCACACCTGACTGTTCTGCTCAGTTCTCAAACATTTCATATGCTCCATCCTAACTCAATTACTTGCTTCTGACATCTTCTGAAAGTACCAAGTTCATGCCAGATGTGCTAGGCTGTTACACAGCAACATACATTCAAATGAATCTTTGCAAAAACAAATCACTAAGCACACACTGCAGATATTATCCCAAGTTTTACTAGGTTTCCACCACAATTCAGCAATCCAATAAGACCCACTTGTTTGGTTCTTCAGTGGTTACAGTTTGTCTTTTAATGACTTGCCCAAGTACTGGATTTAATCCTTTTCAGCACTGAGTACAACACAGATGTTATGTTACCAAGTCACTTTTTAAGCACAAATATTTGGGGAATCCCAAATGCTAACAGTCCTGCCTACATTACATTAGCCCCTCTTTCTGCTTTGCATGTACAAAAAAAGCAGCAAGAATAGCTAAAAAAAAAAAAAATCAGATGACTAAATGGAATTCTTTCCTTTTAATGAAGCATATTGGGAAAGTCTACAACATCAATAACTTGCAAGAACTGGAAAGCATACGAGCATTATTCCTTTGTTCTCTGACACTAAAATGATGTGCATGCTTTAGTTCTTCTCTAGGTCTCAAAAAAGTTCAGGAGACTGCAATTCAACCACATGAGCAACAAAAGTGCACGTTGTTGTTTCACTGCCTAAAGAGTTCCTTTTTGTAAGTGTCTGATTTACTCATTTTTTCAATAAATTTGTTATTATCTTAAGTATTGCTGCTAAATCTCATGACTTTTAGATGGGTCTAAATAACTTGGTTTTATAGAGCTCTACTGTAAAGGACACAAACAAGTTGTGAGGCTGCTCATCTATTTATTCACCTCAAAAGAGCTCCAGTTTCAATGATGACAGAGGTTCTCTATCATGAAGGTTCCTGAAGCTTCACAACATAAATTCTATTGGCTTAAGTTCTTGTATATCATGCAAACAAAATGGAATTTAAAAGGATCACTATTAAAGTCAGGCACTGCTTACAAAATGTTGTCATTTTCAGATTTGAATACTCCTCTGTTCTTGAAAGAGCAAGACAGATGCAGGTACTAAGAAGAAGAGTTCTTGGAACAAAATGAACAAGAATCACTCTCAAGCTTTAAGAGACTTTAAAGCAGTACAAGACAGATGAATGTTAAGAGGAAGAGTTCTTGGAACAAAATGAACAAGAATCACTCTCAAGCTTTAAGAGACTTTAAAGCAGTACAACAGAAAAAAAGGCATGTCCAGAACCAGCATGCCCAATCTAAAGCAGACCATGTGGCTATCTTAAAAGCTAAAGCTCTACTTTTTTTTTTAGGGAAAGTTGCTGTTGTTGTAGATGAGTCTAAGATTTAAGACTTGAATGATGTCACTAGACTTATTTCATGCACTTGGGAAAAAGCAGAATAATTTGGTCTTGCCTAGAAGGGCAAATCTACAAGAAAAAACCAAAACCAAACCAAACCTACTACAATATATAACACTGTTGTTCCAAAGCATGTAATAAATTCCCAGCCTATCATCATTCACATAAATAAAGCTCATCTACAACACATTGTGGGTTCTGAAAAAAAGCTCCATCCACAGTAGTTTCCTTTTCTGCTTGCTGTTTATCATTTCCCATCTGGCTTCCACCTAAGTTCTGGGAAAACAGATGCAAGGATGATTTAGTTACTTGTAATAAGTAATAACTTAAATAAAATCCCAGCCTGTTTGCCAATATTAACACAGATGGCAAAACAAGTCAATGCAATAGTGTGGAAATTCCACAGAGGAGCACAAAACTGTTAGATGTCTAAAGCAAATAAGCTCACAAGACTTTAGGTACATTACTGGTGGGTGCTATGGACTTTTTAAAAGAAACAAACAACACCAAAACTTGTTCCCAAATTAATTTCACTGCACAAATAGGAATTTTACTTCTACACATTAACTGGCACCCCTAAGAACCTTTTCAAAAGAGTGTAGGCACTCCCTCTACAGACCACACTTTGGACAAACTAATACTTGGCCTGTCTATGTCTGGGTATGTTGGTTTTGAAAAAAATCCTGGCTCACATACATGGTATTTATTAATGAGATAAGAAAGCTGGAGGTGTTTTAAAGAAAATAAACATAAGGCCAAGAAACTGGTAATTATTGTTATGACAAGGAAACTGATTTCAATCTTACAAGCAGGATTTAAAAATACTGCCTATTTTGACTGTGTAATTTGGAAGGAAACAATGTAAGACTAATATGAAAGCATTTAAAAGACTGACAGATAAAGTGAGCTGTGTCCAGAAGCAGAAGATAAAGCAACAAATGGTACTTTATAATTTACCAAGGACAGACCTATAAAAGTAATATCTGAATACAGTGGCCTTAAATGAATCACTAAAATATTGTGGACCAAAATCCCTTCTAAATCAGACCACAGAATTCTTGGTTAATGTATTAGAATTCAACAGTGCCCAAGAATATAAATAGATGTTTGAGGATCAAAGACTCTGGTTTTATCTTTTTCTTTTAATACATATTTACAACTATTTCTCCCTCTGTTGAGCTGCTGCCCCTCCCTTTGGGCTGATTACTCAAGCCAGCTTTCCTTCCAACCAACCCTCTCAGCTTCTGCTCAGCAAAAATGACCTGAAACAGTTCCTCCATTCCCTAAAAACCATGAGATAAACAAGAAAATACAGCAACCCATGGTAAGCATTTAATGATTAACTCCCAAATAAATTATCTTCAAGAGCTGTGCTTCACTCCAGCTAGTATATTTAAGTAATTTCTACAGCAGATGTCAACTTTTCACTCAGTAGCTGCTCACTTCAGCAGACTGCTTAAGCAAACAGTCTTTGAAAGCAGATGCCTTGTTAATTTACAGAACTTGGACAAGTTCATACATCTCTTAATAATTGAAAAGATTTCAACATCTCTTTGCAAGAGGCATCCCCTCCATGTGTTCTGTTCACTAAATATATTCAATAAACAAAGCTAGGGTAAGATCTTTGCTCCTGTGGTCTATAAAGACCCACTGTCTTATGGTGCTTCACTGTTCTTTATTTAAGATACTGCCACACATGCTCCACCTTGGTCTAAAATTTGTGTTTTGAAAGAGCTCTCCTCCCTTCATTTGGGAATCTCACAGATAAATCATCATTCTCAGGTGACAGAAATTACCTTTTCGCCCTCAGTGAAAGATTGATGCCCAATACATAGTTTATTTGCCTATTATTCCTCTCTTTTCTGGGGACAGCTGGTATTTCTTACTCTCCCTGGCTGATGATCTCTGAATCTAACCATCCACAGTTTCCAAACTCCCAGATGTGCAATAGGAACACATCAGGACAAGCTCTGCTGTGTTTGTAGTAACACAGTGCAAATCTGGTACATTCCCAGGTCAAATTTTTAAGTAATTTGCTTGCACTTTAAAACATTCCAATAATTTAAATATCTATTCCTTAATAAATAAAACTGAACAGTTGAAGAGGCCAAGTTAATTTTGATTAGTACAAGAGTCAACAGGAGCAAAGAGCCTAAATGTCCACAGCCTCTACCACCCAGCCACGACAAAACTGAAAAACTGAGCCCCTGATGACAGGAAGAAGCACCAAATTGGCAAGAAGGGTCAACACAGTAGCTCTCCTAGCTAGCCAATATGATGCCATCAGCATTTTTACAGGTACTTTTTGTCAGTAATAGCAAGACTGTGTTGCATGCAAAACAAAGCTCATTCTGAACAACAGGAGCCCCTCTACGCAATGGAAACAGGCAATAGGAAGAACAGTCCCACAGATTACAGCAATTAAGCAGACATCTATTTTAAAAATACATAACTAGATTAACTTCAAATCAAATTTAGGTTCTGCTGA